TTCGTCAATGTTTGAACGTTCGCCGAGTGGAGAGCAGAGGGTTACCCGGGAGCGCTTCGAACTCGCGGAGAGCCATGAACATCATTCCACGGTTGCAAAGCGTTACCTTCGCCGTTAGCTCCGCCGGAGCCGAGGCGTGGAAGGACCTTGGAAAAAACCGGGACAGCCGAATAAACAAACGAAAGTCTAAGGACCTATTGGACAGCGAAAATCAATGGCTGTTTCCTCGAGTTCGACTGCTTCGATACATAGCTCGAGGACCGTGTCGATACCTTTTAACTGTTCATTCTGCACACATTCGCGAGTCATTCGAGTTGAACGAGTTGTCAGAATGTTGGAAATTGTAGGTACACACTATAAAACGACGAAGATGATCCTGTAGGGCGCGGCGAAGGGTGCGCACGGGGTGCACAGATGCAAGTGAAAACATTCTTTTCAATAGTTCGTTTAATAATTTTGCGATGATTCGACGCTGATATAGGAATTTACAAATTTACAATAATTTACATACAGATTATGTGCTCCTCCCGGAGCTCGAGCCATAGTTTTCCTTCAATTCACTTTCTATTTCTCTCTTTTATGCTCTTCTGTTGCATTCGGTTGATCGAACAGTTTCGTCGAAGCTTTGCAAAAGTTATTCTCGTCGAGTGGGAAAGCTATCGAGCCAGGAAAAATAAGAACGATTTTTCGAAGTTTCGACGGTGAGCTGGCCTCATAACTTCGAGAAGGGTTAAACGGCCCGCGGCCGTGTTTGCGACGAGCTGTATTTTTCCGCGTCTCCTCGAACGTCGAGATAAAAGGACAACGGGGCAGTCGATCGAGGACCCTCCCCTCCCCGCTGACGCAGCCGGCCGGAAAATTCGGCGACGTCGGATTAACCCCGGAGCCGGGGATTAGCGGGCAGATCCACCCCCTAGATCACCGGTCCGGCGAAACTGTCCCCCTCGTAGGTAGTACCTGCCGCTTTAGCAACGACGTTTTGTAAAGCGGACAGGAGCGATCACGATAGTCTGCCTCATAATACACGTGGCAATACTTCTTCCTTATCGCCCGGACGACATTCTTCTCGGCCCGTCGTCGTCTTACAGCCCTCGCAATCGTTCCCCTGCTTTCCAGGAAGTGGACAGCGATTCCTGAAGATCGAAGATAAAAGTGACTGCGGGAAAATGTAAATTGAAGCGCACCTGCGTGCACGATTCGTCGGTGCGGACATCGAATGTTTATTTACGCTGCGGAGAGAACGTCGAGACGAGTATCAGATTTAACTCGGAAGATGCTCGAGAACGCGCTCTAAAGATTGCGTTTCGTTCGCTGATGGATTTAGTTACGTATTTGGAAGCTAAAAAATGTTTATCGTTGAGCAAGCTGTTAAGAAATGATAAATTCGAAACTGTGATCGAACGAGACAAGTTTTGAATGACAATGTTTTGTTCGGTTAAGTCAGATTGTAAAACATACGTGTCCCGTGACATTGCGATATTTATGGTCGTTGTACATTGCGGATTTAGTTGGGTGTACAAGAGCGATCAGAGGTGTTTTTGCTAAAGAGAGGTCGCCCGTTGCTCGCCGGCTCGTAAATTACTGGATTTCTGTCGGACACCTCAATACTGTTCTCTGCCGGTATTACTTGGTAATACGATCTTCGAATACGACCTATAACGCGCGAAGAAGGCGGTCCACCCCAAGCCTATTGACATTCCGGAAGTTTTAGACGAGTTCCTAATGGTTCAATGATTACCTTGAACCCCGAGCAACAGGCTCTTAAATGTCCGAATGTAATCGGTGCCGAATATCGACCCCTAAAATTCCCACAAAAGTAATTTAATTAATGAAACTGAAACCAGAAAGTTAACATTTATCGTATGGCAATTTATCGTAGATGGTATTTTAACTCTTCTTCATTGTAAATATGCTACTAAAATTCTGTTCGTTCGAATATGTTACAATAAAAATGAATTTTGAGAACTAATCTAAAATTAGTATCGCCCGTGTGTGACCGACGCGGTGCTCAATATGTTAAAATAGTTTATAATTTAAAAATCCCGGGACATGGCCATAAATTCATTTTAAGTAATACCTTTTTATACTAATGTATCATACGCCACAGCGAAGAGTTATTTTTAGACCACGTAAGATCCGGACCAATGAGATATTCAAAGTCAATGTCAAAAGAATCACGATGAAAAATATGCGAACAAAGAATGTCAGAAATGTTGGGGGAATAGGAAAAATGTAACTTCCTTATTGACCGCTCTAGGGTTCGTGCTGAGCGGTCTAACACGGTCCACTTACCAGAAGGCAATCTCGCCTTCTCCGCGGCCAGATCCTTCATGAAAACTGTCTTTGTTCTTCAAGGTAGCGGTGCGACATCGGGTCACCTGCCGTCCTAACTTTCTAAACACGTGTCAACGAATGCAGCGAGGCGCTCGAGAGGCTGCGCGACCATAAATTTAACCGAAAGCGAAGCAGCTTCGTATCTGTATCCGTCTTCGAAGTTTAAATAACCTTGAAATAACCTTAAGGATTTGAGTGGATATCGCGATGAAATCGCGCGAAAAGCCTGAAAAATGACGGAACTAACGCTTGCCGACGTTGTCGAAGCCAATTTCTAAGACTCGCGGGCACAGGTGGAAATTCAAGCAGCTGGATCGCGCAGAGAAATAGTGCAGGTCTCTTCTGGGTAGCGAGCGCGGGGAAGCAGAAACGCGCGGGAGAAGACAAGGGTCCGCGGCGAGTGGCGCATCATTATCGTCCGTCGTTCGCCACCCTTCCCTTATTTAGCCTCCGCGCTTTTCTCCGTACTTTTGCCACTTACGCGCCGCTCATCAGCACCGCCTTCTCCTCCCTCTTTGTCCTCCCCTCCGTGCACCGTGCACGCCGTCACCGAGAGAAAAGTAACCCTTGCACTTTCTCCTACGCGTTCCCGCGTTCCTCGGTGTTATTTGCGCCCGCGTCTCCGACGTCCTCCCCTCGCCGTGCCCCGTTTTCCGACACCAGAGATTGTTTTAATACCCCGATGGGCAGAACTGTGACCCAGTTCCGCGTGCCGGTGAATACAGACACGACCCGGCGACGTATTCAGAAGTCGGCCGTGAGGCACGCGCGACAACCGTCCCGCCTGCGAAACACCCTACCAACTTCTAATCCTTGCCCGACGATTATCCTCGCACAGGAAAACGTTCCTGGAAGTAATGCATGGTGACGCGTTCTTTGGGGAACATGGGTTTGCAGTCAGCAGAGACCAGGGTTTGGAAAGGTTCCGAAAATTACTGTTTCAAACTGTTATATGTATATCGGTTCTGAAACAGTTATTGAGAACCGAAGAAGTTTCATAACACAGTAAAGTCGCCTCAATTTTTCTTCAGCTTGTAAACAAAAGTGGACAATTTGGGAGGAAGAGATATATACGATTATTCGAGCCTTGGGGCGTTTTGATAGTTGTCAACAATTATAAAAGTCTCCCTCTTCCCGAATTGTCCATTTTTGTTTACACGTAAAAGGAAAATTAGGGAGAATTTATTGTAGTTATTGTTTTGTCCGTACGTTCGGTTAGTCGCCTAACGTACATGCGCGACCGAACTATTGTACGCTCGATTCGCGCTTCCTACGGCAAACTAATGACGTGGAAGGGTCTCTAGTAGTCTTAGAGCACTTTATTTTTTGTGTTGCACTCTCTGCGAGCGCTGGTGGAAGAATGCTCTTCCAACGCTGGAAAGTCGTGGAAGAGCACCGTGGATGGGGGTAGATTGTTTATTATTGGTCAAGGCACGAATCACCCCTTGGAGGGGGGTGTCTGCCTTGACCCTTGTTGGGGCCTGAGAGGGTTTCCCCAATGGTGGGACCTTTTTATGGCCCTTGTCTCTGGACGCAACAGTTATGAGGTGTATCGGTTCTGACTTATATCGGTTTCGGTTCTTGAGAACCGATATTACATATATCGGTTTTATAACTCTTATTTTTCGGTTCTGGATTTCGGTTATACCTGCACGTATTGGAAAAATTCAATAAAGTGTAAGAGATTGTACGTCTTTTTCCTGTGTGGTGGACAAAAAACAGTACATACATTGACGTAGTCTCAGCTTGTCTGTAATACCAAGTATTTCAGAATCCATACTTTTAATCGCCAAAGGAATACAATGTATTTGTTAGGTATGATGGAATTAGAACTGAAATCCATAAACTCAGAACCAAGAAATGACATAATAACGGTTCTGAAGAACCGAAACCGATATCTGATAACAGTTATGAGAACATTTCGGTTCTTTGTAACTGTTTCAAGAACCGAAACCGATATCGTAACTGTTTTCAATCCCTAGTCGAAACAAACTGCGCTTACAATTACAGAAAGGCGCTATACATACATATATCGAGATTCGATAACAGTGGCCTCATTGTTATAGATTTCGAAGAATTTTGAACTAAAGGCTACTCGAATGATTCTTATGTAGTATATTTTTCTAAAACATTACGACCGTTTAAGTGGGGCAGCGGCTCCGGTTACTGTGCCGTAAATGTATAAAATAAACAAAATAAAAGCTAAAAAAGATTTAGCATGTCTTATTGAATAAATATGATGTTACCCGTTTCGCTAAGCTTCGCGACGTGCGATGCCACTGACGCGCGTGTTATCCCTCGATCATTATTACGTACATCGAGAGCTTTAATAAGAAAAATTTGGTTCCATTGGCACAACATACAAGACGCATGCTAAGTGGTCAAAGACGAATCAAAAACAAAAGCTCGTGTTTACTCATTTGTGCACGATCGGTATTGCATCGCGGGATATCATGTCTCTCTCGAGCGTCATTACGTCGCGAGATATCTCGTCTGTGACCTTATACATTCATTATCGGTGTCGCAATATGTTGCGACGTCCATGGGGTGAAGCGGTTAATTATATCACCGCCCGAAAAACAAATGAAACGCTCTTGATTATCTCACAGTAACCGGCTCCACTACCCTATGCTTAAACAATGTTCGAAGACACCTTTACAACGCAACAATTTTCTCAATCGTTTTTCTATTTATTCAGAAAATCAGGATTAAACGTTGTCTTCTTCTTCGGTCGTAATTTTCTTAATTTGAACAATCTAATGCGCAGTCTAACGATTGCCAAAGCGCCTCGTCCGCTCTCCCAAAAATCGTGGCAGCTGGTCACGAAAGTTCCTCCGGATCCATAGTGCGGTTCTAGAGGAACGGAACGCTCTGCAGAATCTGTAACGCGAGAGGATATGAACGGGAAGCTCGGGTTTTCGGGAACGAAAGGCAGCACTCACCTCCGGATGATGATTCACGTAACACTTGGCCATCTGAAAGGCCTTATCGCACGGATCGGCCCCGTCTGAAAACAAACGACCCGGTGAAAATGCACATCCGACGCCGACGCGGTCGCTCCGATACACGGACCATCCACTCACAGACGGATTTGCATTTATTAAACAGCTGTTTCGAGGACTCCTGCATGCTGCGGGGGATGTGCCTGAGCGCTCGTTGCACGTCTATCTCTGCTTTATTGTTCAGGATACCGTGCTTCACCATGAAACACTTCATGTAGCACTTCAGGTTCTGGTCGTCCTGCTGGAAGTCGCCGGCCTTCAACCTCCTCAACGCGACTAAAACAGAAACGAACGCTCTCTGGACTTTTGTCCGGCGAATCTTGTCGCGCGTACGCAATTCGATGAATTCGTCCGAAACCGTTGACGCGATTTAATTGATCCACGCGAATTCTCGTTCGCTAATTTTCGGCAGTGCAGCGACTTCCTTCGGAATTTCTGTGATTAATTTATCGTATTAGATTTTTCGCGAGAAGTTCGTCGGACCCAGACAAAAGTGAAATCTTCGTGAACTTTCCCTGGAACTTTTCGCTACAACAGATTCACCGCACTCCCGGCGAAGTCTACCAAACTCTCGAATGCTTGATAGATTACCCCAGGTGACCTTCGACTCCTTTCGACAGTCTCTCCTGATGTCCGCGTCGCTCGGATCCTGGAACAGAAGCAGGCACTTTTGCGACAGTTCTGAAAGTGTAAATAAATATACGTATTTCTCCATCCACTCACCAATGAAATTACGACCACCGTTAAGATAAACGGTAACAAACGATGCCCGAACATGTTGCACTGGAATCTTGAAGATCGTGCGGGTCGGTCTCGCAAAAACTGCCAGCCGGAAGAAACCTGTAACTGAACCAGCGGATACCTTATCGGCACGATAACCGATTGTTGTTCCTTATCCGTTCGAATAAAAGTCAAGATTATCGGCCGCCAATGCTGGGGACGTTGGTCGTTTTTTTAGCAATCAATCACGAAAGCGAATGCAAAGCGACTCGATAACGAATAACCGGAAGTCCTCGCGTTTTAGGCACGGCGGCCGTTACGTTCGAATAAATCGGAAGCCGACGTGCACTATCGCCTATCGTACTTATCTTCCAACCTGTCCTCTGCTTGATCGGATTAAGAAAATCAGCATTTTTCCGACGGCCGGTCTTCTCGAGCCCAGACATTAATCATAATCTTGTCAGGGGCTATCGGCGATCAGCGAGATGCACTAAATAGCGGAAGCGTGGCGTGTTATGGCCGCGGAAGCTTCCGGTTCACCAGCGCCGATGAAAGTGGGGCGCTTTTTCCTTCGGGAAAAAAGGAGTCAGCAACTTTTTGAGCGAGTTCAATACGATTTCTTTTTTTCTTTTCTTTTTGCGAAGGTGGGCTCTATTTTCTATTTTCTGATTTTCGGAAAATGCATTTTTATATTTTCGAACAGATTATCCCGTTGAAAACGCAAATTATGTAAATTATTACCGTTGAGAAAGGCAGATAGCAAATACGTGACTTCACAGTCGCACGAACAGTTTTATACAGAGATTAAATTACGCATACAAAAATTCCGAGATGGAAGATCATCAAAGACACGTGCAGATCGATAAGAAACATAACACAGCGGCGGATGACTCATAGGAGATCGTTTTAGTGAGAATGAGATCCGAAACTCTCCTGGATAAACATACAATGTGACGATGCGTAGTCACCGACGGGGGCTCCCCGTCTTTGTTCTGCTTTCTTCGGTAGATCCGATTCACGCTCAGTCTTCCATCGACGGTGATTGCGTGCTCCTCGTGGACGACCATGAGAGAGAAATCGCAAAAGCAACAGCCGAAATTGTACAGTTCTTTTTACACCATTGCTGATGGTTTTCATGATTGGGATTGTGTAATGCAACAAATGCATATGCTACGCGAGAACTGCGGCCCATCTGGAAACGAAAGCCTTATTAATACGACAGTGAACTTCTACTTTATTAACATTGCTGCGAGAAAATGCAAGAATCGTGGCAGGCGGAAGCGTTCCAAAAAGTGTAAGTACAAAGATCATATATCAAAGTCTTAAATACTGGAAAACAAGGAAAATGTGTACTGAAATATTTTTTTATTGAAAAGATACAAGATAGGTTTTCGATACAGAAATTTGCTATCATATCTAAGACTGTATTGTAGAGAACACATATAATAGAATATGAAAGATAAGAGAAATCATCATCACAAAACATAAGAGAGTACATATAAGTAATGTATGAATCATTTGTAACATATCCAAAGAATCAGCCATTTTGATGTAGAATAGAATAAAATAGGAATTTACTTTTAATCCATTAATGAACGATATACGCGCCACGTGCACTTTCGATTCTCTTCTTAAACTTAGTTTAATACGATTAATTCCTTTATAATTCCACCCCATAACATATTCCGTTTACTTAAAACAATATAGGGATACCTCAGGAGTATTACAAGCCAAGTAAGTACTGAAGTATAAAGCTAAGGATTGAGGAAACTGAACAAAGCCAAGATTTGCACCATTGATTGTCTGAGCATTCAGAAGACTTCTAAGGTGATCTGTGTTCCTTTGAAAATGAAGATCGTGTCTTCAATTTTAATTTCCGTCGTTAATGCTCAACATAATGAAAAGGAAGTCCGAATAAGCGAAAGAGGGGGTAGGGGACGCATCACGGCAGCCGTTGATAACCGCGGGAAACTATTTCTGGACTTACCCGAGGAGGCCTGGAAACATGAAACTAAGACAAGGAGACGTACAGTGAGTAACGAAAGTATTCGAACACTAGTATAACTTCGACTTCTACGCCATATATTTAAATAAATATACATTGAAGGGAAAAAATACTTTACGGTATATTGAAGTAAAGTATATAAATGTCAAAATACAACAAACTTTCGATTTAGTGTAAAACATTATTTACATAATTGAAAAAATATTAAGGAACAACTAGTTTTCGTGCAACATAAATATTCGAACGCCTTATAAAATTCAGTCGAAAAGTTATAAAAACAAATTTTTTTATTAATTTTGATTACTAATTTTATACCTCTATTATTTAATAATATGTTGTTTTATATCTCTATTTTACACGATTTTATGATTTGTTTATAGTATGTGTGTTTTTTGTTGCAACTCGTATGACCGAATTTACTTCATGGGGATAGACAGTCGTCTATAAGCCACTATAATTTTTTACCTTAATTTGTTATGGCATTCGAAGGAATTTGTAAAATCAGAATGCAGTTTTGGCCCATTTACCCGCTAATATTGATGTAACATAGGAAAAATCAACCAAAAATGCATTTTAATTTTATAGATTTCGTCAGATGTATTAACAAATTAAGACACGACTGTCTATCCCCATAAAGTAAATTGGGTCATTCGAGTTGCAACAAAAAAAATATATAGTATAAACAAATCATAAAATCGTATAAAATAGAGATACAAGAACGACATCNATATTTAAATAAATATACATTGAAGGGAAAAAATACTTTACGGTATATTGAAGTAAAGTATATAAATGTCAAAATACAACAAACTTTCGATTTAGTGTAAAACATTATTTACATAATTGAAAAAATATTAAGGAACAACTAGTTTTCGTGCAACATAAATATTCGAACGCCTTATAAAATTCAGTCGAAAAGTTATAAAAACAAATTTTTTTATTAATTTTGATTACTAATTTTATACCTCTATTATTTAATAATATGTTGTTTTATATCTCTATTTTACACGATTTTATGATTTGTTTATAGTATGTGTGTTTTTTGTTGCAACTCGTATGACCGAATTTACTTCATGGGGATAGACAGTCGTCTATAAGCCACTATAATTTTTTACCTTAATTTGTTATGGCATTCGAAGGAATTTGTAAAATCAGAATGCAGTTTTGGCCCATTTACCCGCTAATATTGATGTAACATAGGAAAAATCAACCAAAAATGCATTTTAATTTTATAGATTTCGTCAGATGTATTAACAAATTAAGACACGACTGTCTATCCCCATAAAGTAAATTGGGTCATTCGAGTTGCAACAAAAAAAATATATAGTATAAACAAATCATAAAATCGTATAAAATAGAGATACAAGAACGACATCGATATTAAATAAAGAATGATTTTTAAACTGCCAAACCTCTTGAAACATATTGTTAAACAATAGAAGTATAAAATTAGTAATAAAAATTAATAAAAAAATGTATTTTTATAACTTTTCGACTGAATTTTATAAGAAGTTCTAATACTTATGTTGCACGATAGTTAGATATTCCTTAATATTTTTTTAATTACGTAGACAACGTTTTATACTAAATCGAAAGTTTCTTGCATTTTGACATTTACATACTCTATTTTAATATACCGTAAACTATATTTTCCCTTCAAAGTATATTTATTTAAATATACGGCGTAGAAGTCGAAGTTATACTAGTGTTCGAATACTTTCGTTACCCACTGTACATGTGTATATGTATAGGAAGGCCGTGGGCCATGGTCTGCCTCCGTCTTCGTTGCACCTGAAAGTTTTTGCGCATCGTTAGCCCGATTCTAGGAGAAGAGCGCTTTCCGGCGAACTAGAGGCTTTCAAATCGACTAACCGCGCTACACAGTTTCCTTATCGCGTGCGCGGTACTCTGCGCAGATAGTGGGTCCGTGTCCGTGTTTCGCACGCTGGATTGATCAAAGTAGAGAAATTTTCGTTCGATCGAACGTGTATTATTTTTGTTTCTAGACCGATTGGAATTCGTCTGGTTGGCTCCGTCGGTGTCGTCTGCTCTTCGCGAAAGTTTTGCTCGGTTCGATTTTTCCGACGGCAATACATAGTCCGCGGTAATCCGCGGAGGCTACCGTCGCTCGGAATTAGGTTATGTCGGTCGTTGGAGGTAGCAGCAGTGGCGCTGCGTGCATCGCTACACGAGTATAATTAAAATCAATGTGACGGTGCAGTGTTTCGGGGACGAACATTTCTCGGCCGCGAGTTTTCCGCCGTTCTACCATTAGAAAGAGAAATGTCGAACGGACTGGCGATGCTGAACAATGACAAAGGAACCACAGAGACAAGTATGAGATCCGCAGAACGTTTTCTTTGATTCATCTTAACGCGTTCAATCCTATGCGGTCCCCGCTTCGAACCTCGTGTCTCTCTTGTTGTTTAGATTACAACGCGTCCTCGGTCGATGTCAACGCGACATCCTTTCCAGCGGATCGGTCGCAGGAGATACACATGACAGGGGTGAGCTTTCTTTTGTTGTTAATTGCAGTTATTTTTGAAGCAGAATCTCTTGGCCCCCACCACCGCGAGCGTTATTAACCATAGCTCATTGCCCTATTCACAGATGGAGCAACCAAATATCTCAAGGCCCATGCTGAAAAGGCCTGCTGAGTCTGAACCCGAAGGTCAGTGGTTGGTTGCACTATCTTTTGCCATGGTATCGTTATTAGTTGTCTTGCATGAGTATTCACTGTACTTTTTGTTAGAAACAAGCAGAACACAGATCACCTTACGAGTCTTCCAGGTTCTAGATCTTTGGTGCTAGAGAAAATGCGTCTGGCGCTAAGCTAATTGATTTCTATGTCTTATTTTACCAGGTGCCATCAATCCAAAGAAACGCCACAAGAATCCTCAGCCCAAGAATGCGGTGTGTGCATTGAACGATTTGAAGACCGGTGCTATATACAAGGTAGTGGATCAGACTGGTCCGACCCATGCCCCGATATTCACGATTGCGGTGCAGATAGATGGACAGACTTATGAAGGGAAAGGACGCACCAAAAAGATGGCCAAACATGCGGCAGCAGAGCTGGCTCTGAGGAACATTGTTCAGTTTAGAAACACACCGGAGGTACACCAAGCAATCAACACCTGTCAGCCTTCCATGCCCCTGGAGCCTGACTTCACAAGCGACGTCACGGAACGTGACAATCACCTAGTAAATGCTTTTAAAACATTGACACAGGAACCGAAGAGCCCTAACAAGTTTTTAGAGAAAGGACCTGTGGCGCTGATCAACGAACTCTACCCGGGCGTGGTGTACAAATGCGTATCGGACAACGGCGAGAGTTATGCGAAGTTCACGATATCCGTGACCATTGACGGTGAGACCTTCGAGGGCACAGGACCGAGTAAAAAGCTAGCGAAAGCTGCGGCGAGCAAGGCGGCATTGGCTAAATTGAGGAACGTGCACAGCTCCTCGTTCTGCATACCGCTTCCCGTTCGCGTTCTGCCTAACTTCTCGAGTAGCGGCCACTGGCAAGACCAGATGCAGCTGCCCCAGATGCTGGCCGACAAAATCGGGAAAATGGTGAACCAGAAGTTCAGCGAACTCATACAGTCCAAACCGCAGCACGCTCGCCGCAAGGTCCTCGCTGGTATCGTGCAGACGAAGGGCTCGGATGCTGAGCTCATATGCGTAACGACCGGTGAGAGCCTCCTCTTTCATATCAGGGACAATTGTTCTGCATTGACCCTCGATGGTCCTGCATGTATCCCCAACCTGAAGATCTCTACAAAACATTGACTTGCTTCTTTCAAAAGGGACCAAATGCGTATCCGGAGAACATCTAAGCGTCAGCGGTGGTGCTCTAAACGACTGCCATGCGGAGGTGGTGGCACGGAGATGTTTGTGTGAGTACCTGTACAAGCAGCTGGAACTTCACACGGAGGAGCGAGCAATAGAGTCTATTCTGGAACCCGCGAAGAAGGGTTTCAAGCTGAAACAGGGCATACAGTTTCATTTATACATCAATACTGCCCCGTGTGGAGACGCTAGAATTTTCTCACCACATGAAGAAAATGAGTCTGTTGACAAACATCCGAATCGGAGAGCCAGGGGTCAACTGCGGACCAAAATAGAGTCCGGGGAGGGGACGATACCCGTGAAAAGTAGCGAGGGTATACAAACATGGGACGGCGTTCTCATGGTAAGCACTGTACATGCGAGCTGTACTTGAAGTACACTTATTAGGGCTGTAAATAAAGTTCAACCTTCGGGTCCCATCAAGTATTTTTCAACTCTTCGGATATTTGTTTCATCAGGAACTATCGTGTGCTCGTTTTTTTTGCTTGACATCGTTTAAAATCATTGGTAAATTTTTATGAAAGCGACATTCACAATAACATTCGATTTATTATAAACAAAGGCAGAAATCTAATTAAATACATTATGCGCTGTATTGACGAGATTCATTACCTTGAAACAAAAGGTTATCGAAATCGAGGATGGTTTCTTATTAATTTTCTACATCTTTACTAATTTCAATCTAGAACTACCGGAAAATTCTTTTTGCAAAATATCAAAATTATTTTGATAGTCGTAACAACTGTCCACCCCGTTTTAAGTACGCGGGCAGTTATTGTAACTAGCAGTGTATTTCGTTTGAAAAATCGCGATGTTAACTCTTGTGTACACAACCAACGCATACAAATAATTTTATACCTTTAATATTCCAAATTTTTGTATAAATTTTTATTTTGAAAATATGCATGGAGGTGAGCGTGTTCTTGGCTACCCCGTTGTCCGCACATGGGTTAAGCCGGCAGGAGAAAAATGATCGGTCGATCGTTCTCGATGAAAGTAATGTCCGAATGGTCAGAGACGGTTGGTGAGACCCGAAAGCGTGAACGTTGGCGGTTTCAGAGCACTAATAGAAACCGTTTGCTTGAACCACCAGGGCCAAAGACTGCTGACGATGTCGTGCTCGGACAAAATAGCTCGATGGAACGTACTTGGTGTGCAAGGCGCACTTCTAAGCCACTTCATCGAGCCAATTTACTTCCACAGCATCGTTTTAGGCAGTCTATTGAACCCAAGCCACATGTACAGGGCGGTCTGCGGACGTATCGAAAACACGATTCAGGGTCTGCCGCCGCCGTACAGACTTAACAAGCCTTTAATGAGCCTCATTACATCCTCGGAAGTTAGGCAGCCAGGGAAAGCACCTAACTACAGTGTAAATTGGACTATCGGTACGTGAGGTTGGCAGGTGGGTCCAATTAAGAAATCTCACTGTAAATATTCTATGCGCTCCTCAGGTCAGGCGGACGCCGAGGTGATAAACTGCACCACGGGAAAAGACGAGTTAGGCAAGCCGTCGAGAATATCGAAACAGGGATTGTTCAGACGCTTTTACAACCTGTTAGGTAAACTCGACACGATCGACGATGCTGATCAAAATCAGTGCCGTCACTACCTGGACGCGAAGTCCTCCGTACAAAATTACTCGGTGAGTACCTCTATAACTATTAGACTGCGGATTTTATGCATTACGAACATGAAGATTTAAGATTAATGTTACCTTGAATCTATCCAAATTATTAAGAGAAGAAAACAATTGCTTATCTCAAGGGGATGCAACTCGGGTAAAGACTCTGGAAGTAGGGCAATTACATATATTGGTAGATGGAGAATTTTGTCGGGACATGTAGGGTGTTATCGCTGTAACATTACAGGAAATGGAAAAAATTTAACTGCATGAACATCCGCAGTCTCGCGATGAAAATACATATATGACCGTATACGGTCACGAATCGGTGGTTCGTCATTGTTCTCTTACCTGTTTTCTGTGCGACAGCTTGCCAAGCATCAGTTAAAGGAGGCTTTTGTAAAGGCACATCTTGGGAGTTGGGTTAAAAAGCCGATCGAACAGGACATGTTCGAGGTCGATATCTGACTAAATCAGAGTAACGACAAACCGGCGATCAATGACATGGACTTTCGGGTGACAGATTATGTGGTTCCTACTGCAAACTAGATCGCTCGTTCAGCGTGTTATGATATGGCAGAATGCGGCATCAGTAAAGCATAAATCGTAGGATCTCACGCGTGTTTCACCTTTCACTTTGCGTTAGGTGATATATATATTTTATACATACATATTGTGTGTAGGATTCTTTACATACAATATGTGGTCAGAGTGTGCATGTATCGGAGGGGAAAAGGGACGATCAAAGCTAAAAAGATGGAAGAAAGAGTACGCGAGAGAAAGAGAGGGAGAGTGAGGTAATGTGAGAAAGGGTAATGAAAGA